CGTTTGAGTAGATTTGTACTTTGCGCGGCTGCGAGACGGCAAAGTAGAGTTTGAGAAAAATTGTGGAGAAGAATTTTGGCACATCGCGGCATACTTTACACTCCTCGCGAAAGCATTAAATTGCCGTAAAGTGCTTGCGCACATAGCTATTTCTAATATCATTTTGTTGACGTTGCGAATATCTAAAATTAAAGTACTTGCAAAACGCACTCGCATCGTCTACCGCTTCGAACGCGTTGGTAAATGCTTTAAAAGCCAAAACGATCATCCGTTGAACGAACGGACCGACGTCCGACAAGTTTTACGAAGCACGAGAGATGCCTTATCACGCCTGATGGATGCTTTTGCCAATCTCTTAATGGATATGGCAAATATATATATATATATATATATATATATATATTAATGTAGTATCGATTATTTGATTATTTCGCTGCACGTGTCGTACCGGAACTTCCACCACCTCCTGCAATCGTTCGTTGCACGTTGTCGTCTCGAGGACGCACCGGTCCACCAACAATTTTTCAATGCCGCTCGATTTTTCTCTCGTAAAATCATGGCTCATCGGGAAATTTGAAGAAATTTATAGCGAGCGTAAATCGCAATTTCATCTCGTTTACTTACATCACCCGGGACACGTTTATGGCGTCTATTACTCGATCGCCGTGGCCGATTCAAATGTACAAGCCACGCGTGAACGAGGGCAACGCCAATCTTTATCGCCTAAAGCCAACCGAGCAAAAGATTCCCATAAAAACGACAGAAAGAAAGAAACAACAACGGCAACAACGACAACGACCACGACAACGACAACGACGACAACGACAACGACCACGACGAGAGAGAGAGAGAGAGAGAGACAGATTTGTATTACGACAACGACCACGACGACAACGACAACGACAACGACGACCACGACGACGACAACGACGACGACGACGACGACGACGACGACCACAACGACCACGACGACAACGACAACGACAACGACGACCACGACGACGACAACGACGACCGACGACGACGACGACGACGACGACGACGACGACGACGACGACGACGACGACGACGACGACGACGACGACGACGACGACGACGACGACGACGACGACGACGACGACGACGACGACGACGACGACGACGACGACGACGACGACGACGACGACGACGACGACGACGACGACGACGACGACGACGACGACGACGACGACGACGACGACGACGACGACGACGACGACGACGACGACGACGACGACGACGACGACGACGACGACGACGACGACGACGACGACGACGACGACGACGACGACGACGACGACGACGACGACGACGACGACGACGACGACGACCACAATTATGATGATGATGATGACGATGATATTGATAATAATAATGATAATAATGTCCCTCTCGCCCCTGCCACCAAATCGCTCCTTCGGCCTTCTATTTTCTCAATAATCGCGGGGAAGTGCGAGGCGCAAAATCTCCCCGGTCAGAATTAGCCGACCAAACGTCTATTACGAAAATCATAAAGGCGAGAATAGCTTTCTATCCATAACTGCTTTCGTCACCGTCCATTCTCTGCTTTTCCCTTTGGCTTTTTAAATGCCTCGACGATGGCGAATACGACGGAGATAGCATTATCGCGTCGCTTCTACATTTTTCTTCTTAAACCCTTTGGTGAGCGTACGTTGTCGAAGGCTCACTTCTGGCTCCCTCCCTCCCTCCCTCCCTCTGTCCCATGTCGCGAACACGGCCCGACAAGCCAATTCGAAATAGCCCCAAATTCAAAAAAAGTCAGGAATAAGCGCAGGCAGTGGCAGTGGTGGCGACAGTCACGGTGACGATGAAAACGACGAGGACGTCGACGACCACGACGATAGTGGCAGCGCGAGAAGAAGAAAAGGAAGAACCAAGAAGGCTCATCCAAGGGTCCGAGGATGCGCTCAGCTGATCGAGGAACTGAAATACATGGAGTTGGGCGACTCGCTCGGTGAGACGGTCGCCTGCCAAATCGAAGGATTAGAAGGAGGCGGAAAAAAGGACAACGAAGTGCTCGAGAGGGGAGGCGATCGCGCTTGTCACCGCCCGCCATCTTTGCATCTCTCTTTCTCGAGCGCGCGCGCGCCCGCCTGCCCGCCCGCCCGCTTGCCCGCGCGCCACCGTTGCAAAATCAGCCTAAAGTCACGGGGAACGCGCACGTTAGAAAAAGAAAGAACGATATATATATATATATATATATATAGAGAGAGAGAGAGAGAGAGAGAGAGACAGAGCGAGATAGACAGACACGTATACGTATACAGTGGGAGAGGGAGTGAGTGCACGCATGTATGTTAACGTGTGCGCGCGCGCGCACCGGTGATTATGGTATGTAGAGTGTGTGTGTGTGTGTGTGTGAGAGAGAGAGAGAGAGAGAGAGAGAGAGAAAGAGTGAGATAGATATAGCAGACGAGTAATGGAGAG